TGTGTGTGTGTGTGTGTGTGTGTGTGTGTGTGTGTTCGCGGGGGGGAGGCGACCCCCCCACTGATAATCAATCAATCAATCAATCAATCAATCAATCAATCAATCAATCAACCTATCTTTCTTTAGAATGGACTTTGTTTTTCTGTTTTTTTTCAATTTCTTTTTTTTTTAACGATCAATCAATCAATCAATCAATCAACCAATCAATCAACCAATCAATCAATCAATCAATTAAATAATCAATCAAATAATCAATCAATCAATCAATCAATCAATCAATCAATCAAACGATCAATCAATCAATCAACCAATTAATCAATCAATCGTCCCCGGGACAGGAAAAAAAATTCTTTTTTTTTTTTTTGTTTTTGAAGGGGGGAAGGGGTACCCCCCAACATCCGACCCCCCCGGGCCCATCCACCCCCTCAACACTCCTTCGGAAGGCCGTGTACGGAGGGCCCAAAGTCCATATGTACGGTCCGTACGGACGCTGAGGGCCCGTATGTACCGTCGTACGAACGGACAGGCCGTCCCCGTACAGGGTGACGACACGGACCAGCTTCATTGCCATCCCAGCCAAATGGCTGCTGGGCCCCGTGCACTCCTTAGAGGCAGCAGTGGTTAATTTAATTGTTTTTTGGGAAATCTATAAGACCTTCCCGTGAGGAAACCTTTGTATTCATTCGCTCCCAGGCAGGCAAAAACTGCCGCAGACCCCAAAAGGACTTTTGGCATCATTTTTGCACCCTGTAAAACACTTTCCAGGCATTTTTGCACAGCGGGCCCAAGCGGGCCCAACCAGGGTGCAAAAATGACACGATAAGTCATTTTGGGGCATGCTACACTTTTTGCCCCATTGGGGGGGAAATGAATACAAAGGTCTAGTCTTGGGGAGGTTTTACAACTTTTCCTTTGTTTTCTGGTGTGCACGGCAGTAGAGGGGCAAACTACAACATCTTTCTTTTTGCCTTTCAGACCATTGATCTTAGTTATCTACAGTCATCCGTATCCTATAGTCCAGGCCACCTCTCCAGGAGGCTCTCTTTCTCTCTTCCACTCTTTTTTTTCTTTTCACATCACTACTATAAGTGAATGAATGGGGACTACAATATATCACTACTACAGTCATGATTCATCAGTATCCTATAGTCCAGACCCTGCCAGCAGGAATCCGATACAGTCATACACCTTCCCTCGCCTCGCCACGCCTCAGGGGCACAGGTAATGAATGAATGGGGACATTGGGGAGAAAAACAAATCTGGTCGACGTATGTTTATGTTTATTATGTTAGTTGTCGAAACATGTATCAGTCGTTTCTATGGGTCTTTGGATGGGATAAAGAGGCTGAATCTGGATGGGTTCCAAGCTGAGATGCAGAAAAGCAGTTCAATTCTGTTTTTCTGCACCGCTCTACAAACACGTCCAGATTCAGACGTTAAATCCAAGCGGGACTTCGGCCCCCGTACTCGCAAACACTTCATCTGCACGTCTTGCTCATCTTTTCGCTTTATCCTTCCCCCAAATCTCTCTCTCTCTCTCTCTCTCTCTCTCTCTCTCTCTCTCTCTCTCTCTCTCTCTCTCTCTCTCTCTCTCTCTCTC